CAAACCGATCCCTCAATCGGCTCAGGCGCCACCCCTGAAAATAAGATCAAATTACGAAAACCCCCCTTCTGTTTGTGTAATTACAACAACCCCTCAATTATGAATCTTTCTAAACGTCCACACTCTTATGGTGTCAAATCCAACAGAATCTTCTAGATTATGTGGAATGTTAACTCATTTTGTGCAAGAATGCAGTTTATGGTGCACCACAATCTGATATTTACATGCCAAGAGACACATCTTAGGATCATCTTGTTTCAAAAAGTGGAGCTCAAATAAGGTAAAACGGGTACAAACTGGAGAATATTCCACATAATCTAGAAGATTCCACTAAATTTGACACCGCAAGGGTGAACGTGTAAGAAGATTTGTAGTTGAAGGATTGTTGTAATTACCCAAACTGGAGGGACTTTTTCGTAATTTGACCTTATCTCAGGAGGTGAGGTGGCCGTAATTTACCCTTTGTTTTTTCTTGTATAAATGGAAAATGACCACTAACCTCCATAGCTTTCTTGACCTGTGCTGCAGAATATACATATACTCCTAGTTCAGGGCTGTATTGGAAAAAAAAGAGGTAAGAATATCGGTTATGAAGTAACGAAATAAACGGGACGTAAAATTTAACCAAATATATGAAATCGTTTTACCTAGTTGCAGCTCCATGCATATATCTAGGATGGTAGAACAACTGAGCTGTGCCCCACAAAGGACGAATCTTCGTCCCCTAATTTTCACACGTAGAAATAGAGTACGAAAAGAATCACATGAGTGTCTATTGTTTCTAGGGCAAAATTACCTCAACTCTTGAGGTAAGATCAAATTACAAAAATACCCCTCTTGTTTGCATAATTACAACCATCCCCTCAACTATGTATTGTGTAATTATGTAAACAAGAGGGGTGTTTTCGTAATTCGACCTTACCTCAGGGGTGGCCGTAATTTGCCCTTGTTTTTATATAGTAACTTCTCAAAATTAAATTAAAAAATTGAAAACGCACAAATTGCAATGATATTCGCAAAAGTAAAAACGGAAAGCGTTCGATTTTCAATACGCGTAAAAGTTACCTGAAGGTTTTTGGCAAGAGCCACCACTTCATCCAAGTTAGCATTTGATTCCTACAAAACATTACAAACAAATATCAGCCAAGTTTCGTATATTTAACTTCTTAACATATTTAAAGATTCTTGTTTTTTTACTAACCTCGATCGTTTCACCATCGGGAGCAATATCCCGATCATGGAAGCACCATTTATCAACTCCGAGCTTCTCTATGAACTCGAAATTCGCCCTCACTAAATCACAAAAAAAATCGATAAGCAAACTTTAGTTTCCCGGATAATAAAAATCAAGAACTGAAAAAATTACGGAGCTAGCAAATATGTATGTATATATATATATATATACACATACTTCTTCGTTTTGCCATTGCCAAGGAATTAGTGCCGTCTTCCCATGGCCAATTCTTTGTCGGCGAACCAAATGGATCGGCCCCTGTTCCTCGAAACGTATGCCAAAATGCAATACTGAACCTCATCCAATCCTACAGCAAATCGGGATTTTTACAATACGTACACACATCCACATAATAATATTTCTAAATTGCTGAAAAAAAGAAAAAAAATCCCACCTTCATTTTTTTACCAAGAATCTCCTCTTCGGCATTATACCACTTAAACGATAGATGATTCTTACTCGAAGGTCCCTGCATTAATTAGCGAACGAATGCGACTTCAAATCATAAACTATTTGACATTTTTTGTAGCCAAATAAAAAAATAAATGAAAAAAGCGATACGAAATATTTTACCTCATATTTAATATTTGGAATGCCCGGAAAAAATTCCCCTTCCCATTCACTACCACCACCACAATTACTTTCGATATCGGCAGGACATGTCGGCGGCCCCACAGAAGTCTGCATTTCATTTTAGGATTAAATTAAAAAATTTCCTTAAAATCAAACATCAATATTATTGTTTGTAATCAAACCCTTCAATTTTTTTTTATTGAATTGAATTTGACAATTAAACATCAAATCAACAGAAAGATAGCATCTTTACCACTAAATTAGAGACGGTATTTAGAGAAAGAAGAAACAACAAGAACTTGGCGATCTTCATTTCAGTCTTCTCTTGCAAAACTGAAGCTCTGCAAATAAGTACGAGGATGAATCATCAATTTCTCTGATAAATGATAATTGTCGGGAAAAAAACAGCAAAAATTCGAAACACAAATATATATGCAATTTTTTTTCAAAGATCCCAAATTAACCTAAAGTATATCGATACAATCAAGTCCTAATTACCATATTACTATCAAAAATTCAAGAACAGAAAAAACTACTCTTCGATCGTAATTCGTAAACCCAGCAGCACAAACAAGAAAACACAAAAAACCCATATTTGTGTGTGAAGATTTATGCCTATATATATATATATATATATATATATATATATATTTGAAGAGTGAGAAACTACTTACAGAGAGATGGGATTTTGATTCGTCAGACGAGACGAAAACAGCTGAGCGTATAATTATATATAGCAGGAAAAAAGAAAACTCTTCGGGCTTCTGGATTAATAATTTGGATCACGGAATTATTTTTTCACAGAAGATATATTGATTTGAGGATAATTTTATTTGATAACGATTATTTATGAAAATGTTTTAGTATTTATGTTTAGCTAAAATAATAGTAATCCATACCTCGCGTGTTTTCCCTATTTTGCCCCTCAGTTGGACAGAAATTGCGGTTAGTATGCTGACCAGTGCGAGGGTAGAATTGTCATCCGTGACCATGAGTGCGGTTAGTGTTGTGCACGCAATGCTGATCTAGCTTATGATTGCCCTTATCCACATAGTTTATTGTCAAATAATTAAGTTCTGAGTCAGGATGACGTGGCAGCCTAGTCATCAAGTTTATCCGTACTCTCTTGTTGACCTTTTAGAACTAAATAAATAGAGGCAGTTGATTATCGACCAATCAGTTGACTCGACTCGACCCGACCATTCGACCCTATAAATTAAAAAAATATTACTTGACTCGAATCTTGTAGATCGAATAATAGGTGACAACCTACTTCATTGGTCAGCACAACGTGTCACGTGGTGGTTATATAGTTACAAGTTATAACACCATGTCGCAATTTGCTTATAACACCATATCGCAATTTGCAACGCCTCATCAATTTTACTAAATGAATTAAAAATTTCATAGATTGATAGTCTAGTTCAATAATTTGATGACACAAACTAAGAATCGAACATATTACAAGCCATGTTCTTGAAATATTTGGTTGAATGGATCAGTTTTTGGGGTAAATCAACCCGTTCACACTTGTAATTAGGGTTATGGCAAAAGAACACGACAATTGAAATGTGTGTGATTTATGGCTATGGTTCGATAATGGATTTCGAAATGAAGAAATGAAAAGTGTAAATAGAAATGGAATCAAATAATTTTTGAAATCACAAAGTATACCTGGTTTCGAAGGAAAATCGAAATGAAAATCTTGATTTAATAACGTCCGACTGTGAGGAAGATGTCCGAATAGCGGAACCAACATAGGAGGGAGGGGGCTATGGTCGCCCTAACATTTAACAAATCTCTATTATTTTATATAGAAATACAAAATAATATATATATAAATACAAAAGTTTAATGCTTTTGGTCTTCACGGACTTAAAATTTTGGTTCCGCTTGTGGATCTGACCACCACGATGTTCGACGCCTATTTTGTTTGCCAATTGGCATTATCTATTACTAATGGGCCTTTATTGGCGTATATAAGAATTGATTACCCAGAAAAAACTGTTAAGATAGAAAATGAGCTTATACATATTAAAAAAATTATAAACGTATGTACAAAATATATTGGGCAACTAAAAGTTTTCTCAAAGAAATAGGGAGGGCAATAATCGAAATTGCTGGAAAATTTGTGGTTAAATAGCAATATTAACAAAACAAAATCATTAAAAGAAACTGCAAACTTATATAACTTAATAAATTGCGGAAAGGAGCAAAAAATATTTAGTTGTCTGTCAGACAGCTGCACGACCACCCCAGCCAGCCAAAGCTAGCCAAGAACGATCCTCTACTGAGTCAACTGGGCAGGGTGGCCAGTGAGTCCGTTAATCACGCTCTGGTCGAGCAGATATGACTCATCCACCAGACATGGTTTCCTGTCTCCTTAGAAATCAAGGATACAGAGGTACGAGCCTATAGAACAGATCCTGTTCAAGTAAGGTCGTGTCCTATAATGCTAAACAACGCTAATATAAACGGTTTATTGTATCTTAATCTTCCGATGTGGGACGTATGTTTTATTAATTACATTCGATTACTCCTTAATTGTGTATTTAATTGTTATTAATAATTTATTAAGGCCCATGTAAATTCGGTGGCTCACTGGACCAGCCTTTCTTCTGTGTTTAAGTTAATTGGACAAAAGCGTGTTTCTTGTTTTTGCAACAATGATTCATTGTGTGGCATTTTGAGTCTCACGTTTACTTCTGCAATTTGAAATGCTTTGAAGCTGTTCGAGGAAATGTCTAGTAGGGAGATTTTGTTTCTTACACACCAATTTGTTTCATGGCTTGTATTATATTTTCTGAAGAGAGCAAGTCATATTTTGACACAGAATCAAGAATAAAATTGTTTCAATTGCATTAAAGAATTTTATTTTTTGTAATATATATAACTTAACCAATAAACAATCTCTAAAATAAGCTGCTTGGTGTGTTGGTACAACCACACTGCAAGAAAGAATTAAACATCTTATAATGATAAAAATTAGTATAATCACCTAAGATATATGATACAATTTGGAGGGTTTCAAATCCCGGGTGACATTGAAATAATTCAGCGTCCGAATCCATTTCTCCTGCGTCTTCAAAAGATGAACGGCTATAGTATCCGGCCAAAGCTCATGCGTGCATCTCGTGGGCGGCTCCGGATAGTTGTACATCGCCCATTTCGCGTTGTACCTATTCTTTCCGCGACGCCCCTCTCTAAGCCAATCGCCGAAAATCTTATCCTCCGGACCTTCTAGATGCTTCTTCGGAATATCCGATTCCGCAAGCCACTCGACAATATCCCAAGAAACCAAATAACCCATACCCGACATGTAATGCACAAACGGGTCCATACTAGGGCACGGGATAACGTACCCGTAGTACAAGTCTTGCCTAGGCAAAGGTGCAAGCGAGTCCACTAGATTTTGCAACCTAAAGTACACGTCATCGTCGCCTTTCACCACATAATGGTAAGGTGGATATTGCGAATTCGATTCGTTACTTAGGAACATTTCGGGGAGGCTAGAGAAGTAGGTGTAGGTCTTACCATTGTTCATGTTCTCGCGGCAATCGAGGATGATGATGTCATCGTAACGCATGATCTCGAGCGCCACTAGGACTTTTTGGTCCTCCTTTGTGAGATTGCAGAAAACGAATTTTACGTCCACGCGGGCCCCGATTGGGGATTGGGTGCCATAGATCATGCGGAGGAAGTGCCTCTTGTGGTAGTGATCAGGGAGCGTTAGAATCCCGATTAGTATTCTAATTTCGCTCGAAGATGGTGGCGGCAGTGAAATTGTGTTCGGCTCGATTAAAGGTGATGCCGATGAATTGTGGGGCCCGGGAGAAAAGGCGCATTGGCCGAATTTAAGGAGACTGTCGAATCGAACTTCGTTGATTGATGCTAAAATGCAGAGGAAGATGATGAAGAAGAAACACGATAGGATGAATCGTTGGCCGTCGAGTACTCTATTACTAGGCTTCATTATGTTATTGTTCTAGCAACATGGATTTTTTTGGAGAAGATGAGGAAGTAATGAAAATGGAAAATATGTAATGAAAATGGAAAATATGAACATTTTGTAGTAATAAAAGTGGTAATTGTGTTACTTGAAATTGAAGGATTTTTGGTTGGCAATAATATCGTGTTATGGGAGTCCGAGGAAATTGACTTTTGAACCTTAAAGAAAGTGAAAAAGAGCACGAAAATTGAGTGGAGTTGAGTCTAACGTTGGCCATTTTGCTTGGCGGAATTCATGGGCATTTTAGTCAAACCATGTTCAATTTGAACTTGCTGTGTATTCTTTTCTTCTTCTTCATAGGCTTTTTTTTTTTTTTTTTTTTTTTTTAAATTTAATTTATTTAATTTGTATTTTCTTAAATTTGAAGCCATTGACTGTCAGAAATTAAAATGGGTCTCTTGGCGATCCAATAAGCAAAGGTGATAGCTAGTGATAATAATGAATAAATCTATTATTAAGGTGTTGATTGGAAAAGCTTATTTAAAAATAGAAGTTAATGGGCGTGAGATAAGTTGAGATTCAGTGTTTATTTTATGGGTTGGACTTTGGAGGTGTTTGTAAATTAGCTGAAAAATCAATTAAATTAGAAAAAAACAGAACTCTCATGTTTGGCCGGATAACATTTTTGTTCCCGTTGTTTCAAAATGAACAAAGTAACGGACATATAAATTTCTTTATTTTCCAACCCCGAAAAAAATTTAAAATTTCAATTTTCACCGCAAAATGGTGTTTTCCGTTACTTGCTAACGGACATGTAACGGTGGGGACCAAAAGTGCTGAAAATAGAATATTGGAGGTGAACTTTGTTCACTTTGGAACAACGGGGACCAAAAGTGGAATCGGGCCAAACATGAGGGACAAAAAATGTAATTCTCCCGAAAAAACAGGTACATCATCGGAGCTTTTACAATTAGAGCTTAATGGAACTTACCTTAAGTAAAGCAAAAGTAAAAATTTGTTTTACAAACACCTAAAACCAAATTATTTACCGAAAAAAAATAATGATCTATTTATAATAGCTTTTGCAAACACAACCTAATTAGAAGTCTATTGTCTAAATTCTCTCATTTATATTTGTGTGTTTAACTTTTATCTTACTTCATCTCTTTCCGTTCGACTTCCTATTCCAAGTATTTTGTCGAGGTTCGATTGGATTAAGATATTAAGTCCATCTATAAAAAAATGGACTTATAAGTTATAACGTGGATTTACATCGTACTCACAATGTCGACTAAAACAATGTCGAAGATTCAATCAAATTTTCTGAGTAGTCTTAAAATAATTTGAGAGTGCTGCCCCTAACCGGCCAAACTTTTAGTTATCATGGTAGCAAATGTTAACTTAGCTATGAGTGTGAATACAAGATTTATATATACATATATACACATATATATATAGTTTGATATGAGATTTATATATATTTCATCCTTCCAAAAGAACAAAAAGTCCACCTAGACTCTAAGTGGATTAGTTTAGAAGTTTTGTCTTTTGTTATTTGGTTTAGTGAAGAATCTCGAACTTGCAAAATAAAAAAATAAAAAAAAAACTTTACCGATAACAAATTCGTAGGGGGATCTTAATCAAATGAAATCAAATTCGGTGTGCTTATCGACACCAACAAGGCCAGGATCTTAAGATCGGGGAGTCAAATGCATTAAACAACTTTTAAGGACAAGCCAGTAATGCGATTGTACACGACCTCTTTTTAAATTTTTATATAAATTAATAGAGATTTGAGAAATGTTGGGAGGGGTCATGACCCCTCCTGACCATGAATACATTTTTGAGATATATTGTTAAAATCCACGCTCTAAAACATTTTTTCTCTTATCTACTATGTATTATAAATAGTAACAATGAAACAACCATTTTCTAATAAACTATTGTCATAAGTCATAATTTATTCATTAATAAATCGTGGTCACATTGAATCTTTTAAATTTGTTGCCTTAGACTTAGTCACCAAGTTAATAAGATTACAATACAAGTTTTCTTCACGTGGAGGATTATTGCGTTCACGAAGAAATTATAAGAGATAAAATTATTGATCATTTCTAAAAATTTAAATCATCAAATATTTAACGTGTAATATTTGTAGCGGTGTGTGATAAACGTCGTCTTAATTTTAGTAATATCGTTTCGACTTCACACGTAATTTGGTCATTTAGAGTCTAAATATAGTTCTTTCAGTTAATTTTTTAATCCAACTTGAATCACCAAGACTATATGTACGGTGAGAAAGTTATGCATGAATCAATGAATTTATTCATAATAAAAT